CGCCGAGTTACTCGGGCGAGGCTAGTTACGAGTCTATGACGATGACGGTTGAGTCTGGGGAGGAAACTTGGTAGCCAAGCGATTTGATTTGATTTTCGGCCGACGGCGACGAATATAGGCCGCCGACGTCTCTGAGGCTGAGGCTTATGATGAAGGCAGGGTGAGGAAATGCTCGTGTGTCTGATTCTGCACATGTAGGTACGAGGTACATAGGTAGTCTGTGATTACCTGGGATTATGGTTGTTGTTCCTGGTGGCTAAACGAGTGGCGGCCGCGAAGTCGCCGGGCGCGATAGGTTTGGAGCCCGTTGTTTCGATAGCCGCGGCAGCCCTTGTTGGTGTTGAGTGGTTGCTGCCCCGACGTCACCAATATCCCGAGAGATGGTCGTGTGAGAGGCGAGGGAGGGAAGAAGACGGCTCGATGGCAGTATTCAAGCGTGTTTTTGCACATAAGCTTCTGTTTCTCAACAACTCTATGGTGTGTTCCCCTCCTCTTTTCCCCCTCTTTGTGCTTTTTCTTTGTCTCCTGTAGAGTGACCGGGCGCTCAAGGCGGTGCTGGTTGAGTGTCCTGCTGTTTCCGGAAGGTCTCTACCGAAGTAGACGGCGCGACGGTGATGGGCTTGGTTCCAAAAAGCTTACGGCCCCCGCTTGGAGGATCCAATGGGTGACATGAGAGGTCGATCGCGGAGGGAGGAAAGTCAACCAAGTCCAGGCAAACTTGCAAAGGCCAAGTGTGGCTGTGTAAGTTAGTGCCGTCATGTTGAGGAATGTGATGGGCTGGAGCGCAGCTGCGGGTGGAGAGGCATCTTCTTGACCTTCGCTTCACAAACGTATCGCAATTCCCTCTCTCACCACGCACCCGCTCGCACCACAGAACGATTCGAAATTCCATCTCGGTGTCACTCATTGTCCCATCTGCTTCTTTCCCCTCCTGCCCTCCTCGCCGCGGCACTCCACGCCCGTCGCCCGCCCCATCAACCCACCTAAACAACAGAAAATCTCTCGTCCGCAGCGGCTCGCCTTCGCCAAGTCCTCTGGGCGGGTACAAGTACATCAGAGGGAGACAAGAAGCATCAACCCTCCTTGCTTCGCCTTCCCACGAGGTCTCTCCGGAGTAGGGGAAGCTTCTCTCTCCTTTGTTTGCCCGGCTACCGCCGTTACTCAATTGCCTTGTTCTCCGCTCGGCGCTGTCTTGCCCCAAGATATCGAATGGGTACGTGCATGAGCTATATTACACCAGATCCCTCCCCGCCGCAGCACATAGCTTCTGATGCTTGGTATCTCCTCCCGTTGCTTTGATCGCATTCATTCTCCCGCCCCAAAATCACCGTACGGTCTCGGCTGACTTGATTCTGGCGCCTGCTATGGCGTCGTTGCGGAATGCGCCTACAGCTGCGAGCAATCTCCGCAAACATTTCTCCCACACGGCTCACCCTTCCCGCGAAGATATTCATATCATGCCTGAAGACGGCGGCATCAACGGTCGCGCAGACTACCCAACCGAACGGACCGGTCTCCTCTCGCGGATCACCACCACCGACTCTGGGACACCATATCACAAGCATGAAAATGTCTGGATCAAATACCCCTTCCTGGTGCTACACTTGACCTGGGAGGTCCTCAAGACCAACTACGTCAATGTCCTCCTCGTTTTTGTGCCTGTCGGCATCCTGGCAGGTGTTTTGGACTGGGCACCTGCGCTCCAGTTTACCCTCAATTTTATTGCCATCATACCGTTGGCATCTCTCCTCGCTTTCGCCACAGAAGAGCTCGCCGTTCCGCTGGGTCAGACGATTGGAGGACTTTTGAATGCGACATTTGGAAATGCTGTCGAATTGATTGTATACATCCACAGCAACATTGAAAAACGGGAGGGCGTGCTAATGCTGGAAATAGGTGAGCATCATTGCTCTCTCAAAGAATGAGATCCGCATCGTCCAAGCCAGCATGCTGGGCAGCATCCTGTCCAATATCCTCCTGGTCTTGGGATGCTGCTTCTTCGTCGGCGGCATCCGATATCCTGAACAGAGCTTTAATTCGACCGTCGCGTCAACAATGTCGTCGCTCATGACCGTCGCCACCTCCTCTCTGATCATTCCTGCCACCTTGTATGCTGTCATGTCCAACAACAAAGCACAAGACGATAATATCATGATTCTGTCCCGTGGGACATCGATCATTCTGCTGCTCATCTACGTTGCATACCTATACTTCCAGCTCAAATCCCATGCCAACCTGTTCGACGACGCTGAAGCACAAGGACGTGAGGATGAGGAGGCTCAACTTTTGGGGCCTTGGGCTGCAGGTATCGTCTTGGTGATCATCACCCTCCTTGTCTCTGTCTGCGCCGAATATCTAGTCGGCAGCATCGACGCCATTGTGGAAGAAGCGCACATTAGCAAAACCTTTATCGGTCTGATCTTGATCCCTATTGTTGGAAACGCGGCCGAGCACGTCACAGCCGTCATCGTTGCGTGGAAGAACAAGATGGACTTGGCCATTGGAGTCGCCATTGGGTCCAGTCTCCAAATCGCCATCTTTGTCACCCCTTTCCTGGTGGTGTTGGGCTGGATCATAGACAAACCCATGACACTGCACTTCGAGACCTTTGAGACGGTGAGCTTCTTTTTGGCCTCGCTGGTTGTGGTGCTCTTGATCCAGGACGGAAAATCCAATTATCTCGAAGGGTTGCTCTGCTTGGGTATGTATTTCATCATTGCCCTGGCCTTTTACGTCTTGCCGGACGATGCAGGCACTGGATTGAACTTGGGGAAGCTTTTTGGCGGCAGCGGTGGTGCCTGAGTGATCCAGACCTGGGGTGAGGTCGGAGATATGAGGAGGATCTTCCAAAGCATCCTGCACTTTCCTTTTCTTGTTCTCCTATCTTCCTTTGTTGAATGCTTTTCTATCACGTGCTCCAGATACGGCGCGTTGAGGGTTGTAACTCTGGACTAAACATTGACATGGCACGAGGACGACGAGGAACAGTCGTCACTTTTTATTTGTCCCGAGGGTTGCGCCAACAAAGACTCAATTCGAACAGCAGGTATTGGTCACATGGCGTTGGGTGGAATGAAAACAATTCATGCTCTTGTCGACTTGGAGGTTCTCTCGATACCCAGGCTTCAACAAAAATTCTTCGGTTTGGGGTTAGGGTTTCGGGCTTGTGTCTCATATGTACATGAATTATACCACGGATCGAACAATAAAGATGTTTTGATCCGGTCTGAGCGTGTTTCTTCTTCGTCCCAATGTTTCTTCGTTCCTTTCCGCCATGGATGAAAATGACCAGCAGAGACCGCGTTGCCGCATATAAGGATTTAATTTCTTTATAGCGGCAACTGTTTGTTTCCTAAATAGGCAACTGCCCTTGGCCGCAAACTGAGCCTGCCCTTGCTTGTACCTCCGCTTCAGAGCCGTTGACCAGATCTCCATCTCCAAATTCTGAATCATTCAATACGCATTCCAGCAACAGCAATAATGGCGCCTCGACTGCCTCTCTTGACGACCCGCTCGGTGCCATTCAGGACGAAACCTACGGTTCCGCAGAAAAGATTTGCTCCAGCCCCGAGTCTACTTCAACAGCAGCGCGCCACAAGCGATGATGCAGCTGCAAAGGACGGGTCCCCCGAAAAGACGGCTCTTCATCCACAGGCGAAATGCCCCAATATGGACCAATTGTCCCATGTGACCGAAGAAGCTGCTGCAATTGACAAGTTAATGGGAAACACGCCTCCGGATGTGGAGCAGGGGACACCGGTGCAAGAGGTAGGTAGAGACGGACAACCCGTGGCGCGAACTCCATTGGACTTCAATTGCAGTCTAGATATATGGTGGCTGACATGTCTTTACGATGATATCTGTGCAGATTCTTAAGCGCGATAAAGATGCCCAAGACAAGGCGCCTCAGGTCATGAAACAAGATCTAAAGCTGGAACCCAACAGCATTAATAAGTCACCCTCTGGAACCCGTTCCTTTTCGACCGCCGCGACCAAAAGTGCCGCTGAGGTTGAAGCGGTATCAAACTTGGGCGGATCAGTAGACAGCTTGGTTCAGTTTCAGGACACGAGAGTCGTAGGCCTGGAGTATCCCGACGCTGGCTTCGGGCATAAGTTTGGGTTGCCGGACCTTAAGCCGCTGGGCAAAGCGGTGAATTTCAAGAGAAGATATGACCCCGTGGTGGAGCAGGTAACAAGAAGCCTAATGAGGGATGGAAAGTTGAGCCGTGCGCAGAAGGTGAGAATAGACCTGTTCTCACCATACCCTGTCCAGTATGTGCTAAAGGTGTTGCCTGCAGAATATGCAATTCATCCTCGACGCCCTCCGAACCTCATCTGTACCGCCATCCAACAAGGACCTAATCAGCCCTTTGCCCCTGCAATCTCTCCCCCTCTCCCCTGTCGCTTATCTCACCGCCATAATCGACTCCGTCGCCCCTCTCGTCAAGATCCGCCAACAAAGAGGTCTACTGGGTGGCGGTGCCTCCATGCCCATTCCCGTTCCCCTGCGCCTTCGCCAGCGCAGACGGACAGCTATCCAATGGATATTATCTGCCGCGGAGGGGAGAAGAGAAGATAAGCTTGCGGACCGTGTGGCCAAGGAGTTATTGGGAGTTGCCGAGGGAAGAAGTTCTGCGTGGGAGAAGCGAGCAAGGGTGCACAAGATGGCAATCAGCGCAAGGGCAAATGTTAAGATTGCCGCGAACGGGAGGAGGATTCGGACGAAGAGTATTCGAGGCAAGTGATCGTGCCCGAGTCTTGCAGTGTAACTACGAACACATGGTGGAGGGGAAGGGACTCTTCTCCCTGGATGGGTTATTGGATATATATATTCTGTATCAACCAAGTCAAAAGGTCGGGAATGAGCCCGGAGATGCTCGCCGTCTACTCTCCTTGTCTATCTTTTATACATTTCGAGTCCCAGTGCCTTTTTCAACCACAGCCATCTCTCCAGACCGACGGCGGCCTTTTTGTTTTGCAAAGACATTCCTGCTATGGCCCTAGTCTCTGATAATCCTCAGGTATGTCGTCGCCTCTGTAAGCCCTTGGTCATGGGTGAGATCGCCACCAGCGGCAGCACGGGCACACTGCAATGCGGCGGCCGTCTTGCAGCCGTGCGAATAGCTCACGAAGTCATCCTTGTCCCGGCAGTCAACAGCACAGGCGGGCACCTCACGCCAGACCGGGCCTTGTCAAGCGGCGACCACTTGCTGATGAAGTCGAAGTCGACGGGGTCATGCACGTCGCCGATGTCCCGGCCACCGCGATCGCTGCGCCCCAGTCTCTGACGGTGCAGAGTATCCACGGCGCCGGCGTTGAGGACCACAGCGTCAAATATGTCCGGTTGCTGGACCATTGCCGTCGCGCAGTTCAATCCGCCCATGGTCTCGCCCATGGGGATGATGGTGCGGGTGTTGGTGCCGTATTCGGCGCCACGCAAGTGCAGCAGCGCCGCGGTTCGGATATCGTCGTCCCCTGTTTTCAGATGTTGCCCCGTCCGCGAGAAGATCTGGATCTGGTCACGGACGTTGATGGAGCGCACGACCAGGATCTCCCCGCCAGAGAGCATCCGTGCCAGCCTCAGAGTCAGCTGGCTAGGCGGAGCAACGATTTCTTCCGCTGTTCCGTTCTACGGTGTACGCGCTACCACTTTGCCGTTTGTCTGCATTGGTCCAGAAGAGATGTTTGTCGCCAATAACACCTGTGGTCCCTGGCGCCGAGTCTTCAGAGGGAGTCCCGATGTACCTGGGAATAAGTCAAGCATTGAGTTCAACGGCACCAAAGATGAAAGGATATTGGGCCAGGACGGACGAACGCAAGGAAGAGAAAGGAAAAGGAAAAGACTTACTTCCACTCTGCATGGGACTGCCTCGAAACCACCCCGTCGAACTTCAACCCCAGTCTACTATCTCTGTGATGGCTACTTTCTGCCGTATCTTCGGCTGGCTCTCTCCCGTTCACCGGCGCTGACTACACCTGACAACCCCTCCCTCTGTCATAGATCTCCAGAGAGACGAGCCTGTCATCTCGCGAAACCACGGCCTTGAAACGATAGGCTGGATGTTCCGCATCCGCATAGACGACCTCATCGACTTCCTGCCGACCGCCGATCGTGCTTCTTCTTAAACGTCTAAAATCCCAAGAGAGGTTACACGATCTCTTTGAGACCGAGCCTGCAGCTCATATGGTTCCAGAGAACGACTGCAGGGACGATTATTCGGAGCAAATCAGAATATGTGGCGAGAATGGGTTGATATAGAAATTCGCCTGATCGGGAAGGTGGGGGGGCTAGAAGGGGAATAGTGCATGAGCACCCTCCCCTTTCTTGCCCTTTCCACTTCCCTTCCAATATTAATTATTAATTTTCGGCATCACTCAAAATGTCCCGCTCCGGTGAGCCTTCCGGCCCGGGAAGAGGTTGCTGGCTGTGTGTCATGGCTTTAGATATGCTCCTCAAAGACCCTGGTTATCAGCTCGGGAGGAAAGTCAACTTCTGTCGCGAGACGCTATAATATGCACGCCAGCGACCGAGGTTGCAGAAGGGGCGAGGCGATAACCTACTGAAAACCAGCAGTCCCAACGACGCGATAGCGGCGGCTTGAGTGACATTCCCGCCTTACCTGTGTGTGGTGCCCACTGTGCCAAAATCCGCAGACCACCGAGATGGTGGATGTCTTGTTTCCAGGAGCACAAAATGTGTGTTGCAAGAATTTGCGACCAGAACCGCGGACGCGGAACATCCAAGCTCGCGGTCACGGAGCCGCAAAACGAAAGTAATCAATACTTGCTCATGGCTACTGTCAAGAGGCAGCATTAGCTTAGAAATTTTTGACACATACCGTATGTTGGATGTCGGAAAATGGTAGCAACTCACACGACTTTGCTTTTGAGCAATGACTGGACATACAAAGCTGTCCCTTCCTCAACGGTCCCCTAATAAACTCGTGGTAACCGAGCAGGCCGGTTCCTACAGAAATCCACCTGGATTTGCTGGCTAATGGAGTCATCCCCGACCCCTTCATTGGGAAGAATGAGGAAGCCGAGCAATGGGTGGGAGAGCAGAGCTGGATATACGAGTTACAGTTCGAAGTCCCTGAAGATGCAATTGGAAAGCCGAACCGCCGTGCTGCATTGGTGTTCGAAGGGCTCGATACCTTCGCCACCGTCAAACTCAACGATCAAACATCCTCAAATCCGACAATATGTTCGTGTCTCACAAAGTTCAAATTATAGAAGATATGCTTGTGAAGGAAAAAGGCTGCTTAGTTGCGCAGTGTCTGTAAATCACCTTCGAGAATGCAGAGCGAGTTGGGGATGAGAAAGTCCTCAAGTATCCGAGTCATGACTGGTTCACCATCAACGCCGGTACGGCACGGCTGGCTACGAGGAAAGCACAGTATCACTATGTAAGGACGTCCTAGCTCTGTTATATCCTCCTTCTGCGACCAGTTGTCAAGTGACAAAATCTGACTGTTGGCGTCCGAAATTCATGACCTGCGGACCCTGGAAGCCGATATATCTAGATCTTTATTCTGCGCGTCTATCGGAGATTTCAGTCCACCCAATTTTCGGCTCTGATCTAAAGCATGGAGAGCAGGAAGTTGTGGTTATGGTGGATGGCGCCGCTAGTCGAGTCAACGTCCAACTCGGCCGCGAAGGGTGGTCCAACAATCTCGAACCGTCAATGTTGAGCAACATATTGTGCGAGCGAATTTTCATCTACACCATCCTGATCTCTGGTGGCCCTTCACCCTGAGAGAAGCAAATTTGTGCGAAACCAGAGTTTCTTTATACCAGTCTCAGGACTCTCAGTCGAAGCTCGTGGACGAAATGAGCAAGACATTTGGAATTCGCAAAGTGGAATTGATCCAGCGTCCGCTGCCCGGCCAAGAAGGGGTCGGTTTCTTTTTCAAGATCAACCACGTCCCGATCTTCGCTGCCGGCTCGTCTTGGATTCCGGCCGACTCCTTCCTGTCTCGTATCTCTACGCAGAAATACAGGGACCGGATCAAGTTGGTTCGCGATTCTAATGAGGTTATGATCCGCGTTTGGGGCGGTGGTGTGCGCGAGCATGAATCCTTTTACCATCCTTGTGACCAGCTGGGCGGCCTTGTCTGGCAAGATTTCATGTTTGCGTATGTCAACTTCCAAGCACACGCACAGTTGCGAAATCGCGTTGCAGTGAAAGCGGAGCAAGATGTCCGCCGATCGAGACGTCACCCCTCTATTGTGCTGTGGTGTGGGAACAACGAGGATTATATCATTCCGCCGCTCAGACAGCTTGAATACGATTCAAGCGAGATCGACCCCGGAAAGATTCTCGAATCTCCTTTTCCAGCAAGTTGGTGATTAACCCAAATAGTATGTACGGCATTTGGAAATGTTTCCATACAAAGACTTCGCCAGGCTTGATGGTAGATTCGTCAGTGAATTTTGTATGCAAGCATCACCCGGCCTTGATACAGTCAAAAACTTTTTTCCTCCCAGATATAGCGTGCAGGAGAATGGCGACGTATCGGAAGACAAATCTTTGAAATGGCACAACAAAATGGAAGATGGAGGAGACAGGATTGCGCGCTACAGGAATGATAACATCAAATTCGAGACGGGATCTCTCCCCGTATACATCTACTCGACCCAACTGATTTAGTCCGAGGCTCTTTCTGCGACTTATCGATCCTGCCCACGTCTTTTTGGTGGGACCCTGGCAAAGAGTATTGTGGCGGTGCTCTTGTTTGGCAACTCAATGACTGTTGGCCGGTAACATCCTGGGCCATTGCTGATTACTATCTTCGGCCTAAGATGACATACTGGGCGGTGAAGCGTGAATGCGCTGGCACGACTATCGGTGTGGCAAGAGTCAAGCAAAGGAACGAAACGAATGGTCTGGAGGCATGGAGCGTGAACACGACGCTATCCGACATCAGGGTCGCTGTTCACATTGACGGATGGAATGTCGTGACAGGCGAGCCCGTTTTCCACCACTCGTGGCCCAATGCTTTCGCACTGAAGTTGAATCAAAGCACAGAACTCGGAAGGCTGGACCTGGGTGCTCTTGGACCGTCGCGTTTCAAGCTTTCCGAGAACGGCATAGGGCTCGAAGACATAGGTTTTGCAATTCGTCATTGTCAGGTGGGAGAGGATCCTCCAGCCGTACCGCGAAGCGTGGAATGTGTCCAGAGATGCTGGCTTAACACATCAATTTTCACGAGCCACTGAAGGAGGCGCCTTTTCAGGCAGGAGCCAGGCACCTTGGTTTGAAGATTGCAAGAAACGGTGCCGACACTGTGGTGGAGGCGACTGCCAACCTGCCCATCAAAGGCCTCCTGGTGCAAGTCATGGATCATCTAGATACCACTTGGGAGGACAATGGTGTTGATCCAGTTCCTGGCCAGATCGCGAGCTTGAGGTTCATGGGCAAAGGACTTGAAGTTGGTCAAAAACATCCGCTCAGGGCTCGATGGATGGGAGGAGAGTGGAGCAGACAGAACAATGTCAGACCGTCCCTGTAGTGTTGGAACAGATGCTAGGCTAGGATATCTCGGTAATGTTGAGGTTCAGGGATTGTCAAGTTTGTTTGGGATGAATAGGTTCATGTGCAATGTAATTGTAGGCAAATAATGCACAGGCAGGCAGCGCTAGTCAGACAGCAATACGACGTAGATTAACCAATTTTGGTAAAAGGCCTATTAGCCTCATTAACTGCATGAGTACATAGGCGGTCTTGGGCTACATGTCTAACTAGCACTGCGTCTCTAGGCGGGGCCCTTAGGTGGCTAGGCCGCCTCAACCTCCACCAGCTTAACTGCTATCTTCCATATGTTAGTTAACTGCCTCGGTCTATACACTTGCAACCTACTCTCTTTAGTCAACTTGAGATACGCCTTATAAAGCATCTCGTGCTACGTTTCTTTCTTCGCCTTGGTCGCTTGATTACAGCCGGATGATTATTCGCGACAACCATTCTAGTTTCACATCGCGGTGGTGGGCACAATGGCGACAACAGCATCGCTTTCCCAGAGACCGTTACTGGGCTCTGCACCTGTTCCATGCTCTGCGTGTCGGCGGTTGAACGTGAAAGCCGCAACGACAAGTAACCCTCCAGACTGTTGTCACTAAGTCAACGCCTACAGATGCGTTGCATAGGAGCCGACAATATGCCATGCGTTCGCTGCTCTAAAACCGGTGGAAACTGCGTCGTCCATGCATCTCGAAGGGGTCAGCAACAATCGGCCAGCTCAATGCAGAGGCAGCCGCCCGGTCTCATTATTACTAGGAGATGCTTCATACCAGCAGGACTGTGAGATTACAATAACTTATGCTGCTATCAGCGTAGTGCGGCTCTCGTCTCTAGCTCATCCAGGGTCGCTTCAGGCGTGTACCCTCCAAACTCGCTTTTACAAAAGCCGACGGGCGTCTCGTGCTGGCATTTCGCGGCCTGATCAAACCGTCTCACCCGAACTGCCATCAGTCTACTCCTCTTCTCCATTGGATGTGCTTTATTCGGCTGTTTCCCAGCAACTATCGCCGAAGCCCTGGTTTTGGCCTGGATTAGATGGCAACGCCGTCAGCCCCAGGTGATCTTCCAGTAACAATCTAAATGACATACCCGACAAAATTTTAGTTGAGATCATTGAATTGTAAGCGTCCATACACATGATGTGCTTTGCGAGAGAGGAGCACGGAACAACACATTCAATGGCAGTTTCTGGGAGAAGATCTTATACTAAACTATGTTCTTGTTGAGGACGCAGACCTAAGGGACTCGCCGTATGCGGTGAAACACAGGCGACCAATTGCTTATTGCGCAAGTTTTGTGGCGTCACAGTTTATCCCTGGAAGTACCAACGTCCGCGAAACAGCTCGCCGGGCCGATCTCAGACTTCATAAGGGCGACGCGGCGGGCCCTTGGCAGAAGGTGAAAGCGCTGGGTGGACTCAACTGCAGGCTTTTGCGATTCTCTATGCATACCGCTCAGCCGCAGATATGTTTCATCTCCCAAACGCTCCTCAGTCTCCAGGATTTCTCAACCATTGGGTCTTGAAGTATTTTATTGAGGCCTTTGCGCTAGAACCGGCCTTCACCGCTCTATCGATGGCCTGAGAGTCCTTCTGCAGCAGAACTCCACAGGCATCTCAAGGTCGCTAGCCTTTCAGAGATAGGTTTACTGGCTTTGGCTAGTGACCGTGTCTCATCATTTCTCTTTGATGGCGCGCACGCCGCCAACTGTCAGGAAAGACAGCACCATCTGCCCAGCGGTTAATTTGTTGAGAGATATTTCAAAGCCGTCAAGTGTGATTCGTATTCTAGCAGAGGTTGATCTCTACTTGCTGTGGAAACAAGCAGATCGATGTGCTCCAGGCCTTGCAGAATGGTGGTGGAAGCCATCAGGCACCATGGACATGGAGGCAGTGGTAGGAGTTCTAGAAGGCAAGGAAGGGATCCTCGAGGTTTGGAGTCAGCGATGGGGTCTTTGTGGAGAATCGAACATGACCATTTCGAATGTGGACTTTTGAAAAAACGTGGCCGTGAATTTCCACTTCCCAAGTACACGCTTCTACATCTGCACTTTTGGCACAAGATATATGCTTGAGAAAGCAAGGTCGGTCCTCGACGCACACACTCCACCCTACTAAGTTTTGGCGCGAGTGGCTAGAGAATCCGTCCTGAAGTCTGTGGAAACAGCCCATGCCTGTTCTTGATGTCTCGTGGACATCATGGACATGCCATCGCTCAGACGGAAGACCATTCAATATATGGCCAACTTCGGATATGCTCTGATAGCATTCTGCTGTCACCACTTAATACAGGCTTGTGGATTCGGCCACACCGACCTGCCTAACCCGAGGAGCTACCTAGATTCTGTTGAGGAAGTGGCCACGTTTATGAGAGAGATGGCCGTGGCAAACAACACTGCTCCTAGGTTCTATGACAATTCGATATTACAGCAACTCAAAGAGGTGTCTCGGAAGACAGAGGGTTCCGGCTTTGGCACCCAGTTATGGACAGAACGGCGTGAGGGAATTGCAGCCGGCCATGCGTCTGTCTGATCAAGCCTGATTGCGTTAATCGTAGAAGGCGACCAGGCCCGGATGGCATCCTTCGCCGACTCGTTCGCAACAAACGGGCCAGAAGGCCTGTTGCGACTCAGTCCACAATCTCCTAGTTTCTCCCTTTTCGATCCTAGCTGGGGAATACTCCTGAGATAAAATGTACTGGAGACTGGGATCCGCAGCTCAAGATATCACAGAACAATGCATGACCTCTGAAGCACCAAGGTGGTGATTGTTGCGCATTCCCCAGGTTTAGAGCAATGCCGCCCCTTGGAGACCTTCTCTCTGGGCTGACCAGCTCACCACTCAGAGCCACCTAACGGAAGCAATCAACCTGGTCCAGCTAAGACGTCCAGCTGGCGGCGCTGAAGGGGCAAAGAGCGCCTCATAACTACGGAAGTGCCAACTATTATACGCGAAACTAGTGGCCAAGGAGAAATTCAGGAAGTCTGCTGTCCAAGGAACATCAAAACGTAACACACTGACAGCGTACCTCGCTCGACATCTAACTAGCTGGACGGACAGACCTTCGTGGCTCCCCTTTGGCAGATACGAGCGAGGAGTCTTACACATGAAATAGAGACATGGAAAGCGACTGGAGGAAGAGACCAGCCCACATGTCACCGGGCTTCTCTTGGCTGCAACCTCGCTTCAGCCTCTACCCTCTTCATTGGGTTACCGTCACTGTGGCACCCAATATACCGCCGTGTCGCCCACGCACGACAAGGGATCAGCTCACATCTACCTCGTAAACCTGACGGACAGCGTGCAGTCTGACCCAGACTCACAGGTGATCGCTAGAAATCTGTACTTTTCCCAGATCTTACCCCCCAACCCCCGTCGAGCAGCAAGGGTTTCAAAAATCCGGTGCCTCAATTGTCTCTTGCGCCTAATCCTGAGCGCCACAAAACGCCCCAGAATCTTAAGATCGAAGGCTTGGAAGCCAACCTCGGTGCGATCATCCGGCATCCACTTGGGACCTTTCCTCCATCTCAATCATTCTTATCGCTCCAGAACTTCCACAGCTACGCATAGGCTGGAACTCGTGCTTCTGGCTTTGTGTTTATCACGATGAGTTCCCGATTCTCAGACCTGACATCCGACATTTGACAGTGTCCCATTGGGCGAACAACCATTAGCTCCAGATGTCAAAACTTCGGTACCGTCTGCTAGCTCCACGGTTGACAGCGATCTATGAGCCTCGCCATGCTGCGGTGGGTCTGGTTGAGGCTGGCCGGGGGTGGTTGGGACTCCCTTCCGTCCCGCCGCGGGAGGCAGATTGGACTCAACTATAAGCAAAACCTAGCAAGACGACAAGTTGGATACATCAGTTATCCAGTTCCCTTTTCTACCCCGACCAACACTAACCAGTTCCATGCTATCCAAGAATGCTTCGCGTGGCTCGACGGCACGAAAACGCCGTGTTTCCCGAGTCGACAGGTCGCGCACTCCACTCCTCTTCCCCCTTGATGGTGAGGGGGTGGAGCAAACAGTTTTCGCCCTGGATCGATCCCTTGTAAGTTGGCCACGAGAATGTCCTCGCATAATCGCCATTGGCCAACACCATCTGCGGTGCTTCGCTAGCCCAAGAGTGACATCTTGTACTTATACGGTTATGGCGAGTGCTTGTTCTAGGAGCCTCGCCACGGGCCGATGTGGCAAGGAATGCCGTCTGAACCCATGAAAATATTACCAAATCCAAGACGACAGCGTTGTGGTGCACAGAAAGTCGCGAGCAGGCTCTATATATCATGTGTTTAACACCCTTGGAGGCTTAGGTCGGTCTACACCTTTTCTGAGGTTACCTTTGCACGGAGACTTGCAGCACCTTCAAATATGTTCGATTCAAAGGATAATGTCCTTGTGGCTATAAGCATTACGCTTGCCGTGGCGACAGTAGTCTCTGTTTCGATTGAGCTGAAGAGACAATTGGAGACCACGGGACGGTTAACTGCAAGCAAGTGTGAGTTCCTCGCGGAAAAGTGAGCGACTAGTTCATTAATGTTGACTGACCTTTTGAAGGGTTTTTGGTCATCAGTGCGGTGCGATGGACCCTCGTTGTAACTCCAAGCCGTGACTTATCTTGTTGCAGTTCCTTGCTTTGGTGATGACATCCATCGTCTGTGCAGGTATGAGGACAAACTGAAATATAACCCTTCAGGATGACTGAGGTGTCTATCAGCCGCGGCGAAAGGCCTTGGAGCTTCCATCACTGCTACCGAATTCCTTCGCAGAGAGACTTTGCAGAAGGTCAGTTTTCCTCTCCCACCGTCTTCCATCTGTCACGGCTAGCTACTGACACGAAAATAGCTCATCGTTGCGGCCTTGCCCCCTTATTTCTTGTGCAACATGTTCGTCAAGCACGCATGGTTGACATTCTACTACGGCCTGTCACAGACCCGTGCCCAGAGATATTTCATCCACGTAATGCAGTTCCTTGCAGTGGCCTTTGGCACCAGTTCTGTTGCGGTTATATTGTTGCAATGCACGCCCTTGAGCTACGTCTGGCATCAGGCTCTGGAATCAACGAGCGGACCTGTGAAAGGGAAGTGCATCAACTTGATGGCCTTCTTCTATTTCAATGCAAGTTTCATGATTGCGAATGATGTGGTCATGTACCTGATACCGATGGTACTGCTTTGGAAGGTTGAAACGCTTCGTGAACACCGGTGGAGCCTCTATACGTTGTTCGCGATTTGCTTCGTGTATGTGGCATGCCCTGTTGGTTCAGTTTACAGACAGTGCTAACGTGCCTTTTCAAACAGCGTCATCCTAGCGAGCGTCTTTCGACTTGTCGCCGTCTACGAAATTGATACGTCGCCCAACCTTTCAGGTATGCTACAGCCCTCCTCCTCCTGCTCCTCCTCTCCTCTTCCTTCTCAACATGATCCGCACGTGTCAGCCTCTCGCCAATACTAAGATATGTTCAACTCCAAAACAGAAAATTACGCCTTGGTCTTCCTCTGGGCCGGCGTGGAAAACCACATTGGCATCTGCGCCGCCTGCGCCGGCGCGCTCAAAGCAAGGCTGAGCCTGATGTACAGAAAAGTCAAGAAGCTCTCACTCGATCTGCGCAACAAGTCGTGGCTTGCTTCGATATCAACATCGGCGTCAGAATCCAGGCTTGGGTCGACATCCGCAGACACACGAACGGAGGTCACTCGCACCCAGAGCACAGAGGACCGAACCCTGTACGAGCGCGCGGCCAGCCTACCTTCCTTGAACGACGTGCCAATCAGCGACGACAAAGGGTCCAAAGGCACGCGCATAGAACTCGTCGAGGTGCAGCAGCCCACGCCCAACGCAATCCACACCTCGCCCAGACACTCACGCGCAACGTCACGAGAAAGCTACAGTTTTCCACTTTAGTCGTGAAAAATGAGAAGTGGAAAGAGAGAAGAGAAAAAGTGAAAAAGCGGCCTCGACACATCCGCGCTCGACTGACGTAAGACTACTGCACAGGTCTTTGTTTCTGGGCAGGGTACAGGTACGCTCGTTCGTGGCATACTTCTCTCTGCCCCTCTCCCTTCTTCCCTCCCTCAGCCTTGTCTATGAGTCTATGTGTGTATGTATGTGTGTATGTATATGCGGCTGGATGAATGAGTGATTGGGTATCCCGGATGGTGTTGGGGGGGTGTGTGCAGGCAATGAGTGAATGTGGGTTGTTTACACCCAAATAAAAAAGGGAAATGCAGAACGAATACGCTTTACGTATAGGTTATGACCACGATCAACGGCAGCTAGGCTGAGAGATAATAAAACGTATTGAAGAAATGAAGAAAAGTAAATTATTTCCATCAGGAGCTGAGTTTCTTCTCTCTCTTCTCTATCGTGGTTCTAGCCCTGGCTCGGTGGGTATCGGCTGGCTCATTGGCTCGCTGGCTGATAGTCACTAATACATCGATAATGCGACGGAGCTTTTCTCCTACCCGCATAGGGCCAGGGGCAAAGGGCGAGAGGCAAAAGGTGTAGTAAGGAGTAACTCGGCATGAAATTGTCGTGCTGTTTGACCTGCGCCTGAGGCGCCGTTGTGAGCGGGGAGCATTGCCTCGATCATCCCTTGATTCTCTCGACTTCTTCCATACTTCGATACGGACACACGCGCTTCCATCCATCCAGACGTACATATAACAGACGTGGGTGTGGGGGTGTGTGTGAGACCCGTCCGTCGGCTTCCTGACCCTCAGACCACCACCTGATAAATCGTATACTCGACCTTCTCGACACCCTTGGGGCCGAGCACCAGCGCGACCTTGGCAACCAGCACCGCAAAGTTCAGCCACCAGTACTCTTTACTAGACGTATTGCACGAGAGCACCTCGGTGCCGTACAGCGCCGACGGCATCTCCCCTGCCGCTTCCGCGGTCTCACTTCCTTCGTGCTCCGCCGGGGTGCCGTCCAGGGCGCTCATGACAGGCTTGATCAGCTTGTCGTAGCCCACGCTCTGGAACTTGAACAGCGTCGACGAGCCCGTGGTCGGGTCCGGGTTCGATTGCGCAACGACTCGCAGGTCGACCTCGATCATCAGCTCGTCGACGTGTCGTGTACAGTAGTCTCCGCCACCAGGCAGCACGGTGGCGATCTTCGTCCCCAACGGTGTGGTCAGTTCGCCCAGCGGCGTTTCTACCCAGCTTATACGGCCGCGTGGGGTGGCGCCGGCGTCGAGGACCGTGGTTGGCGTGAGGCTGAGGTTAAGGACGTGTTTGAGTGTTGGTGGGGAGGTGGGAGATGCCATGTTTTCGTTTGGTTTGGCTTTGATATGCTGTGCCTCAGGATTGGGGGGCTGTTCGACTTGGAGACAACTTCGTGGGATGTGTGCTTGTTGGCTGGTTTGGTGCCTCCTGCCCTACTGTGTTGAGTTGGACGGTGTGAGAAAGGCGGAAAGACGGCCCTCTCCAACATCCCGTCGTGGTATTTATATACACAAAGTCAATCTTACCTTTGATATACTCGTAATATCGAGGCAGAAGTGAGCAATCGTATTATAATGTTTCTACTTCAAAGAGCGATCTGACCTGCCCGATCAGGGCCGCCTTCTTCGAGGTCCAACAAGGTTACGTCCCACTCGTGTGCTGACTGCATTGCGGGATACTGGGGTCTGAACTGTAGTATTCGTTTGCTAGCTGAGTAACATGGTTCGTCGGTAAGAGCCTGGATCTCAAGTCACGATCTGCTTTGGAAGCGACGCTTACAGGCCCCTTCCAGACCAGGCAAGCTTTGAGAAAGAGAAGAGATAATTGGGACTGGTTGTGCATACTTAGACTAGTCAGATCTCTTGGAGGCGCTTTTCCCCGGCTTAACTCAGGCGGATGCCATATTATACGGCCGTAGTAGCCTATAATATTACAGGATAAAGCCTCCAGTATTTGGCCGAACCCGAGTTCTGGATCCTTTGGGCACTTTGCCATGCTTTGTCTACCGAAATGTTTTGCTGACCTTTTCCATTTCTGAGGTAAAGGAAGTCTTTGTTCGTCGTCGTTTCCAGACTGGGCTCCGAGACTTCACCGAGTCGGCTCATTTATCATCCAAGGAGATGCACAGTCGCCCAAGGGGCAAGTAATAGAAAATATGGACGTGGTATACCGACCTTGAACAAACCCTGCGTAGGGGTCACCTCCCAGCGGGCGAATAAGATGAGCCGTCGATCACAGTTAATGCAATGGACTTACCAGGATCTGCATATCTGCTGGGGCAATATCAAGCTTCGAGGTGGCCCACAAGTCTTAATATCCGGTTCCCCATGGGTGAAGAATCTGCCTGGACTTGCTACGCTGACCAGAGACAAGAAATATCTATTTCAGCTGCGTTGCACCGCTCTATCAACCCAAGGTCGACCACATAAGAGACACGATGGTCTAGACACAAAACGTTGAATGACACATCATTATTCAGATGATGCTGAATTCTCCACATGATCTTCTTTGCCGTCGGTCGTATACCGAGTTGGCAGGATTACCCCACTGAGCATCGGTTAGGCAAAGGGCAGAATAAACTGAGCCGCCACCACGTGTTGATCGTGCTCGGGCGAGATGGTGTGCTGACGTTCCATTCAGGTCAAGATGTCTGGACCCAAATACATACCCTTACCTGCCGGTCCGTATGCGCCTTCTGAGCCGTAGGCGAACAAAAGACCAAAACGTTGAGAGGGAAAATATTCGGTGCCGCATCCACGAGCAACCGGGCCTAGTGCCAATTCAGCAAAGGAACTGTTTCCATATCAGGCCACATCCCTAGCTTTGGCAGGTAGCGCTCTACGCTCGGTCCTTGAAGCTAGTTCGGTCGGACTGTTTGCAAGTTGCAACGTCAGACCAGAGACAGTATTCGGTTGCTGCGAAGGAAATGCACTGAGCCGGACTGCTGGCAGATTTCGCAGAAGGCGTGGCTTAACAGACATCGACTCAATGAATGCATGATGTTCATTGTATGTTGTACTCCCTTGAGGATGAGGTGGACAATCCAGAGATGCTTGGCGTCGATAGTGTCGCTCCTCTGTTTTCGTCTGAACAAACTTTCTGTCAGAGCTCGTCCTTTGCCTTCCATTTGACATCCGCTGCGGCTCCCGAGAGCCTCTCGAATTCCGCTGTCAAGGCCTGCAAATGCGACCAGTCCGAGGAATCTTCTCCAAGGGCCCATGCAAAAACACCACCGAGACCCAACCTCTCTACAATGGCAGGGAATTTCTTCGAAATAGCAAGCGGCGTATCCCAAGACCAGAAAATGTCTTCGTCAGTGTCCCAGAAGTAATGCCCACCCTTGACATTGTCGTACAGTCCGTGTGACATTGCCCGATAAAACGACATTGAAAGGTCAGTCGGCACATCGTCACTCCAAGCGAAGGCGCCAGCACGACCAAGATCGGCGCCAGACGATGGGTCTTCCATCAGTAAGGTTTTGCAACCTATGGAGTTGGCCCTGCAATTTCCTTTAGGATCGGTTTTGTACCATCGAGGATAGAACGCGAATCCTAGATTGGCTTTCTCCGGCTCGAGGCCAATCCCTAAAAATGCTTCGATACCTGCCAACGAAGAAGCAAGACCAGTATGGTGGCCGGTGACATTGTCTCGTCGGTTGACCAAGTCATAGGTCATAACGTTGATAAAGTCTAGCACAGAACTGATTTTGGGCATTGTTTCTTTCGTGAATGCGAGCATGTCGCGCGGATGGCCTGGGACAGCAGCAGATATCAGCTTATTGGGCCCAAGAGCCAGTCTGATCTCCTGCAGGAGTTCTGGATACGCTTCGATTTCCCAAACTTTTTCTGAGTTGGGTATCTGTTTATAATCCTCTCCGTTGCCGCTGTCACCTTTTCAGCATACTTTGCGGGAGATCCTACAAGATGAATAGGACCACCTACCCTGGATATTCCCAATCAATATCAACGCCTTTTTGGTATTAGCGAAGGATCTCATAGTTGGCACGCCTACCTACCGTCTGCCCCGGTTTGATCCACCATTTTTCGGACATTGTAGGCAAAACGCATTCTGCTCTCTTGTGAGGCAGCAGCTATTGAAAAGCTAGCGGTGTCACCCCAACCCCCGATCGCTACCATGATCGCAGCTCCATCTGCGAATTTGGGCCGCACAGCAGCCACAGAAGTGAAAAAAGGCCACGATGATGGGTTCTCTTCGTTGAATACTGAAGCAGGCATGAATGCTAGAGCCACATGCGTTATATGGGAGACGAGAGATAGATCAGGCACGACGTCATGCTGCCTGTAGGGGGTTTTCGAATGAGCTCAAAATGGACCCTTTTCATTGTGCCGTAACCTACCCAGTCAGGTACATCACATATCTCGAACAACTAGCGTACGCGACGCCGAAGAGCAAGAGAAGCAGGCATCGAAGCATGGTGCAAAGATTAACACTCGGCAAGTAGCTTCCAGAGAGAGGGGGAGTCGGTCCGGACAGTTCTGAAGTGACCTACATGTTGCTTAGATCTTGACTTGAACATCAACAAAACTCGAGGCAGCGAGGCAGCTGAGGGACTTGAGGCGGACGGTTGGAAAAGTGCAAGTTGAAGCAGCATCATTTCTGTCCAGAATCGGCCTAGCCTCTTGGCATAAAAACGACCTCGGTTTATAACTGGGATGCATCAACACCTGCGTTCCTCTACCGACACGTGTCGACTCCCTCAAACACTCTCGGGAATGTAGGCTGTATGCTCGGCAGCTTCTACTCCTGGAGCAGCCGCAGATATGGCAGGATCACCTTGCAATTTCTTCAAAATGTGACTGCGTTCAGACCTTCATACTCCTTCCTCACGGGAGGTGCTAGATGGCCACTTTCCTCGACTGCCAGAGGAGCAAAGTTCAGATGTCTCTCTCAATCCATTTTGGCCCATGAGAAGAAGGCATCTCCCTCTCTCTGTGTACCACAGAAGTACACACTCCTGGACCCTTCCTCTCCACACAATTCCCTAGAGTCCTTCCACGCCTACGCCCTCCGCACTGGTCTGTCTCCGACCAGCACAGTCTACACAGGCACGGCCTACGAATACCTCGCAAAGTCTACCCTCCAGCCGTATGGGTTCAAGCTGCATCGAGTGGGTGGCAGAGGCGACCGTGGCATCGATCTTGTAGGCGTCTTGGAGATTCCAGTCTTGTCACGTTTGGGCGAATGGAAAGAGAAGAAGAGCAATGCGGCCACACACGAGCACGATTTTCTGGGACCCGAAGAGTTCAAGGGAGTAGAGACCCACCAACTGAAGTTGCTTGTCCAGTGTAAACGGCTGGCGGGCAGGCATGCAAGGATTGGGCCTAATTTGATTAGAGAACTGGATGGGGCTGTGAGAGCGGCAAGAAGCGCAACCCTGGTTGACATGATCTACCCTCAAACTAAGGCAGCGGGCACAGCAACTGAAGATAGGGATCGTGGGAGCAATGCTAGCGAAGAGACACGAGAGTCGCATCTGAGAGCGGGGCCGGCCATCGGCGTCCTGGTAAGCACGAGGCCGGCGACCAAGGGCGTGGTGGACAGCATGACCCGGTCGACTCGCGGCTTGGTCTGGATCATGATGGAAGAAGTCACGGATCAGTACACAGGTGGAAAAGAAATACGACCCCCAAGTCGAAGTGAATCGATGTCACCACTGCACGGCGACATTTCACCGCCAGATACAAGGGAATCACCTTCGGACTCAGAACCAGAACCAGGGAGAAGCCCAGGGCCTCCAGGAAAACCCCCACGCTCCGCTGCGAATTTGAAAGGCCGCATCAAGCAGATCCTTTGGAACCAAGGCGCCTGTGAAGCGGGGCTAGAAGGCGTGAACGTGGTGAAGCGATATGATTCAGAAGGCAAAGAAGAGGTAGTCCTGATGCGTGGGGGACGAGTCTGGGGTGGACGTTGACACTGCCGTCACCCCGTTCTCTAGGGCACTGTGGACCTTACTGTTAGGTTGGAGCCCTGCAGCTCAACTTTGCTCACTAGGTATCCCGCCTCAAATAGCGTCATGAGCAGCAGGGGAATAGGTATATCTAACAGTCCGCATCCTCCTCGCCTTCCATCTGAACTCGATATCGCATACTCCGGCTCTGGCCTGAGCATACCGTTAGTATGGAAACGTACAGCTGAAACTGATCAGGAAAATGAATATGAAACTTTGGTTTTCAAAGTCTGCATTGCAATGCCATATATACTCTAGCGAAATGCAAACAAACGGGCAATATGAGCTATGGTATCGTACATTGCCTTCCCCCTTCCCCTCCCGCGCAGCGTCACATGATATGTGCGAGATATGTGTCTGGCTCTCAGATCACCCCCAAAGCATGGTAGATGGAATGTGCAACTCACTGTACTTTGCCGAAACAAAACGCGCAGGGGGGAAACCCATGGAGGAAAACAAAACACAAGATAGAGAGATCTATCCTCCCTGATGGGATCGAGGTCCGCATCTGAAGCGGATGCACGCAGCGGATAATATTGGGACCAATGCGTTGCCTACTTCTCCTTTACCAATTAAACAAAGGAAAGTTTATAAAGGTCGATCGTGCTGCATCGGCCGCTTACAACTTGGCCTTCGGCGCCTCCATGCTGGGGAGGAGCATATCCCTGACATCGTTGGCCGCTTCGTTGAGGTAGAAACTCATCCGCTCACAGCCGAGTTTCTTGGAGACGATGTTGAATTGTAGACTAGGTCATTTGTTAGAAATATGCAACTCGTTACCAAGAGAAAATGAGTGACATGGGAGGACATGGAGATTGTACAGCAGAAGGGCAGAAGGGGAGAAGGGGCCAAACACACCTGTTCTCATTAATCATATAAGCAATCCCCCATCCTTGGTCTATGACTTGACTCCACCCGTAGCCGTTAAAGTACTCTGAACTCAACTGACTGCTCGAGATATACCAGCTGCTCGAGTAGGTATACGCCGGATCGGTGAAGATTTCAGGCGTCTCCTCGCCGGGCTGAATGAGTTTCTTCAACCCGAATAGATGACGATCCACGCCATACCCGTCGCTGGCATCAGCGGTGTATTGGACATGCGCTTGAACAGCGGCGCGGAAGAGACGTTCGCATTCCTCGCGGGAAACGGAGGGGTCGGCCATGGCGTTGCAGAAAGCGACGCTCTCATCCGAGACCGAGCGAGTGGTTTCTGTTCGGCCTTGTTGATACTTCCGCGTTGCGGCGGACTCGTATGTGGGTCGATTCTTGCCGTACATCTTGTGGTAGGCGAGCTGGATGACCATCTGCACATACGCGTCCGGGGAGCATTTGAACTTCTTGATCAATCCCTTGCCGTAGCCTTGGTACGCTTGTACGCGAAGGTCATGGGAAGCAATCACTTGACGGAACTGAGCCTGGGCGCTGGCCAAGTCGTCAAGCACGGCCGCTGAGGTTTCAAACTTCAGGGCAACAGGGTCCGGCAGGTCGGAGCGGATTGTCGGGTTGTCGAAGTCGAGTTTGTTGTGGGTGATTAAGGCGTTGACCGTGTCGCAAAGACGGTGAGTCGGTGTGCCATCCATCATGGAATGCTCACCCATGAAGCCGGCTGTGCCGTTATCATTGATGATGAACTGAACCGGCTTGTCATACCATCGGTTTGAGCCATCGCCGTGCCAGTAGATGTGCGCCCGTTCTTCGAGGGTGACGGGCATGCTGGAATCTAGGCACACGAAAAAGGAAGAAGATTCGATCTCTTTGAGGACTGCCTCGTTCAGCGGGGACGCGGCTAGGAGGTTTTCACGGGCTTTTGCGCCTTGGTCGCGAGGGAAAGAAGTGATGGCGCCGATGGGGTCGGCCATCTGGGCATTCTTGTAGACCTTGTTGAACTGGAGTTCGAGCTCGGAGGTATTGAGTTGCTTGCCCGATACGTGAGTCTGGATCTTCCAGAATTGGTTATTTCGCATGACAATGATGTGCTCGTTGCCTTCGGCGGGGTATTGGATGGGATAGTCACTGGGAATGGCAGCGACTCGGGAGGTGTTGAACATGTACTCGTAGCTGCTCATAGCCATGGGCTTCTTGCGCATATATTCGGGTTCCAGGCTCTTCTCGTCGACTTGTCTCTTGAACTCCAGGGCCGCGGTTGTTATGGCGGCAGCACGTTTGGCAGGGTTTCTTCTTCGGCGGTCATCCCGGAAGGAGTAGAAGTAAGAGACATAGGGCACCACAGGATCACGGTATCCCAGGTAGGCGGATTCGTTCCACCAGTCAATTATCCAGTTCTTGACCTTGGGATCTTGTGCTTTCGCTATTAACCTCTCTTGCAGTTTCTGCCCGATCCCGCCCGGCTTGTTCAAGGCAGCCACGGCCTTTTCGGAGGCCGCATACTCCTCCTTGGTCAGGAGAGGGTGGAGGCTTTTGAGGTAACGGGCGGAGGTTTCTTCGAGAGAAGGGACCGGTAGTCTGGGTAAGGAGTCCTCGAACCGGAGCATGGCGCCCTTGGAGAGATCTTCCCGGTACTCTACAGTCACCCGTGCGTGTCAGAGTTGCTCCTTGGCAGGGTTGTCCAGTATCAACTCACCCTCAGTCACCCAGAATTGAGGTCTGTTCGAGGCCTTTCTCTTGTTTGTGGGAGCCATGGCGAAGGCCTGTGGGCGTGTCAATTCCCCCACCTGACGTCAACTGTAGGGAAGATGATCGTGGAGTCTTTACCTTGAGAGCGGCCGAAGATGGAGAAGCACGGGGGATGGCACGAAGGGTCGTTTGTGCTCCTAGTCGAGGCAGTGTGGGAAACATCCCAAAGAACAGAAAGTCAAAGAAAGAGTAAAGGCAAAGAGAGACACAACAAGGGTATCGAGAAAAAAAAGTCTATGGCTGGATATAGCGAGCGATCGAAGGTGACGCGACACTTTTTAGATCGGAGGGGATTCGGAGAGCATTGGACGAGAGATGCAGGCGAAGGGCACACGAGGCGAGAGAGAAGGATGAATTGCCGCGGCGATGCGAAGATGGGACCGATGGGACGGTGTTCGCACTGGAAGGAAACGGCTTGACGGTTGCGAAAGGGAGAGACCGAGAACCGCCCAGAGACTGTGCAGGATCCTCTCTCTGTGTCCGTTGAGCCGAGGCACAGCTCTGTTCGGAACCCCATGGCTGCCCCCATCCCACTCATAACCTTGGCAAAAGCAAACAACGGGGCCTGCGTCACACGGGCAAACATCGGTAACCGGCCAGATGGGAAAATTCGGAGAGACAAGAGAGCCCAGA